CTTAAAAATATTTTCTATGAGAGCTATGTAAAAATTAGATAAAGTAGAGTCGAGAGGTGAACCCATAGCGACGTCATAAGTCTGTAGTTAAATGTTTTTGTAACGATCATAAAAAGTTACTTGTGTCATGTAGGATAGATGTGTATGTGGAAATGTTGATATTAACAGATGATAGTGAAGGATTCTTTCATACATTTTTTATTATTGTCTATATTTTTTTTTGTCAAGCACTGGTGAAGTGTCTTTTAACTTCTAACAAGGCAAGGATGCTTTGTTAGCGTAATCAAAGCTATGTTTGTTTGGTGAAGCATGCTAGGAACAGTTGGTTCAAAACTTTTCAATAAGAAAACTCCGAGTTTCCTTTCTTAATAATGTTTACATTATTTATATTTGAACTAAATTTCCTCATTTTTATTTTTGTTATCACAATGTTTCGGACATTGTGACTTCTGGGCTCCTTCAGATGTTTGTCGATCAATGTGACCTTCAGGTAATTTCAAATTTAATCTGCACGTGTAGATTACCCTCGTTCCGTTGTTAGCATCAAACGAGATATCGCGTCACGTTCTCTTTTTAATACTGCTCATTTATTGATCTCCCTGTTTACACTACCCTACCTATGCATTGAACTCACAATTAATATGCCGCTATATTCACTAATCACAGTTTTAATCCATTAGGAAATGCAATCAACTAATCTGTTTCCCGGTTGGATGTATCTAATTACAAGGATTCTTTACTATAAGGTTCTGTATAGATTTGTTTCAGTTCCTTTTTAAAGAGCTGTGATCTATGATTATAGCCCAATTTTATATCTTCAACTATAAGTAAGGTTCATAATCCAGACTGAGTTTGGATGATTAGGTCGTCTTTTAGCTATACGAATTTTGTACAGTATTTAAATTTTTGCTTTTTATGTTACTGTACGAATTATTGTTTATATGTATGCACAAACATACATCCCTCGACCCAATATATATATATATATATATATATATATATATATATATATATATATATATATATATATATAACAATTATAATGAAAAGTATATATATATATATATATATATATATATATATATATATATATATATATATATATATATATGTGTGTGTGTGTGTGTATTTAATCATTCCAACCACCAAAATACAATAATAGCACAAAGGGTTAGAGAATGTGAAAGAATGAGAAAAAGAAAAATCCTGCCAACGTGAAAGAAAAATACAACAAGAATCAAGATGACAGAAGATAATGATTGACATTGCATTTAAATTTTTGAAAGTAAAAATCATCTGCGAATCAAGAGGCCGGAAGATAGTTCCACAGGCGAGAAATTATTATTAATAAAAATAAAAATAAAATGAAAATATCCATGAATTTTGATATCAGGGGTATTTACTAGGTTCCTCTGTGACCACCCTCACACCACTTTACATTTCACCTTGTGCCAAGATTGTACGTAAAATACAAATAAATATACGCCCCCCATATATATATATATATATATATATATATATATATATATATATGAGGAAAAATTCAATAATTTATAATTGATATAAAAATTTGATATATAATTTCCCACCCTCACACACACATACATATATATATATATATGGGGAAAAAAGAACAAATTCAATAAAATTGTTATTGATATATAAAGATTTATATATATATATATATATATGATAAAGAATTATCGTCCATCTCTGGTTCTTATATAGATTTAATAGGCCGGTTAATGAAGTTCGGGAGATAAAGCTACAACAACAACAATAATAATAATAATAATATTAATAAGACTAATGATATTTATTTTATAATAATAAATATTTTGAATTTCTTACAGTAATTCAACAAAAAAAAGTACCAACAACTATGAACATATCAGCCTCTTCCATCTGGTCACCTAACTCCTCAGACTGCAAACCCCTTAAGTATTATTGTGTGTAGCGCAGTTGAACGAGGACAAGAAAAGTCCTTGTAACACACACACACACACACACACACACACACACACACACACACACACACACACACACATATATATATATATATATATATATATATATATAAAGAAAGATCGTCCACGCGTGGTTCTTAAAATATATAGATTTAATAGGCTGGTTAATGAAGTTCGAGAGATAAAGCTAAAATAAAAATAATAGTAATAATAATAATAAGACTAATGATATTTATTTTATAATAATAAGCAAGGCAAGGCAAGGAGTATGGCAGAATTCACCGACTTAAAAAAAGGAGATCGTCCAGAAGAATTGAAGGAGGTTCCGAGGTCGTCTGGAGGCTGTGGCTGAAGCCAATGGCAATTTTATTGACTAAATTTACTCATTATTCTTGTAAGTATTTCAAAATACTATTGTGTGATTTTGGTAAATTTATCTCTTAAAATGTGATGTTAGTATTATTTTCATTTTTGCGTTATTTATACGATAATTTATCCATCGCACCTCATTTTATATATATATATAGCCCTGCTACTATCTCTTTGTCATTCTATAAGTATTAAGAGAATAATGAATTATAGATTATATATTGCTGGCAATTTGATTCAAAAGAATGATTGCTTGGGATCTAATGAAAGCACGAATTACGCAGATGGTCGCTGATGCAATGACTCTTGGCGAATAAATGACAAGGGAAATTGAATGATAGCAATCGACTATCAGGAAAAAGTTAACGGAAGATGTTGATTGAAAAGAACTCGTTTCAGAAATAGGGTTCGTTGTTTGTGGGTGTTTCATATCCGGAAAGACAATAAATAAAGGACACACAAGAGGAAGTATTTATGAAGATGCGACACATAGTAACAGTGAGAACATTGTCATATGCCGCTCACATACGTTGGCTAAATAAAACTCTTGCCGATAATGAGTAAGGAAATGGAAAACACAACGTATCCTAAAGATTCAACGACACCAATTTTATTTAAAGATAATATTAGCCCACGCCAATAATTTAACATAAGCGAACTCTGTAATAAATAGGCTGATTGGCAAAACCTGAACATACATACATACATATATATTTTAAAATCATTTCAACCCAGGTCAGGTAGCAAAGCCACTGAGACGCAAAAGATTTCTGAGTGCTAAAAATATAAAGAAACAAATAAAGAACAATAAAAGAATAGTAATTAAGACGACAATAGATAGCGATTGACATTGTATTTAAAGTTTTGCAAGTCAAACTTGACTGGAAAGCCGTTTCATGTGCAACATGAAGCCAATCTCGTACTGCGCGTAAATTCTTAGTCTACGTAGGATGAACGAATGTTACAATGAAAGTTTACACACACACACACACAGATATATATATATATATATATATATATATATATATATATATATATAATAAATACAGAGAGAATTAATTTGGAGAAACTTATCACTTAAATGCGACGTGCTATTTCAGTCATAAAGAATGAAGGCGGTGCTAGATTTGCATCTTTGTTGTTGCCACAACGTTTCGGCCTGACGATTGCGTCTAGCATTAAACAGCCTGTCGCCTCTGAGTGTTGACTTTAATGTTCACTTTTATATTTATATTTACATCTTTCTCTGACATTGCCATGATCATAAAGGAAACGGTCATAAAAGAAGAAAATAAATTCTTGGATACAAAATAAACCCGATGAATATATATATATATATATATATATATATATATATATATAGTCATTCGTAATGTCTCCTCCTCACAAACTAACGTGTTACAGAAAAACAATATTGTATATAAATTTAAATGTCACTTGCGAGATTGCATCTCCAACAGAAAAAATAATATATATTTGGTTATACTACTACTTCATTGTCTCGACGGTTAACTTTCATTTGAATGATGCATCAAACATATGCCAACATTTATAACAGCATGCCTGTCTACATTCGCAATTTAGGAAAATTATTGCTGAGTTTTAGGTTTTAAATTTTAAAAAAATTTTTTTATGTTTATCTAGGTTTAAAAATAGTTTTTAGGTTTATCTAGGTTTTAAATAATATTTTGGTTGGTAGGGAAGAGATGGATTCATGCCTTCCACACGAGTAATTAATGCAATATTGCTAGAATCTCTATAAGCCAGTAATTTCATCTCATCTCGCCTATTCTAGTTGTCACGTCGTTAGGCCGCTCTCTCCTTTTTTACCTACTGATAATTTTAGAAAATAAATTTTACTTGTCAGGAAGTATTTTGCATCATTCTATGATTAGTAGGAATGGTCAATGGCTTTATACATTGTGTAAATCTAACAGAAAATCGGTGAAAGTGCTTCCAAAACCAATGTTAAATAAAACGCTAGGAATTTCATTTATCGCTGATACCGCCTATATCTTTTTTCACTCTTGTATTTTCAAAATGTCGCTAAGCTAATTTCATTTGAGATTCCCCTTTTGATATCTGAGGAGATGATGTCAATGTGACGTCAAGGTTTGAATTAATATTTTTTATAGTTTGCAACATGCTGAATGTCACGTCTAACCCTACAAGGATTATCATTTTAGGATTGTTTTGCGGGAAGTTTGTAATTTTGATATTTTTCCTAGTATTTCGAACCAAAATCTTATTGTGTTCTACACGAATTCTTTTTGTCTAAAAGACATTGAAATCGTGAAAGTGAGAGAAGGAGCCTACTTTGGTAACAACATAAAAGAGCACTGATCGTGATAATAGGCACAAAAGGTGCTTTTGGTCGTTGGAATGGCGAAAAGAAATTTTGCTTGTACAAAGGACAACGTAAGTTTTGCGACCAACGAAAATGAATCTGAAAATAAGTGATTTTAGAAGTACGATGCAGTTGAATATGTGATTTGAGTTAAGTTGTTCAAATCAGACAGAGTGTTCAGCTTGAAAAATCCTTTTATTTAAGTGAAAATATTTCATACCAGGTGAAAATATTTCAAAAGGAAAGGTAACCATGTATCAGCGTATCTAAAGGCAATAATTCATGGGAATCGTTCATTTGTCTTAAATCTATCTGAGTTAGTTCATTATCTATCTATCTATCTATCTATCTATCTATCTATCTATCTATCTATCTAATTCCGTCTGTTCATATCTAAGCCTGTTCATATCTATCTATCTATCTATCTATCTATCTATCTATCTATCTATCTATCTATCTATCTAATCCCGTCTGTTCATATCTAAGCCTGTTCATATCTATCTATCTATCTATCTATCTATCTATCTATCTATCTATCTAATTCCGTCTGTTCATATCTAAGCCTGTTCATATCTATCTATCTATCTATCTATCTATCTATCTATCTATCTATCTAATTCCGTCTGTTCATATCTAAGCCTGTTCCTATCTATCTATCTATCTATCATCTATCTATCTATCTATCTATCTATCTATCTAATTCCGTCTGTTCATATCTAAGCCTGTTCATATCTATCTATCTATCTATCTATCTATCTATCTATTCATCTAATTCCGTCTGTTCATATCTAAGCCTGTTCATATTCATCTATCTATCTATCTATTCATCTATCTATCTATCTATTCAATTCTGTCTGTTCATAACTAAAACTGTTTATATCTATTCATCTATCTATCATCTATCTATCTATCTATCTATCTATCTAATTCCGTCTGTTCATATCTAAGCCTGTTCATTCATCTATCTATCTATCTATCTATCTATCTATCTATCATCTATCTATCTATCTATCTAATTCCGTCTGTTCATATCTAAGCCTATTCATATCATATCTATCTATCTATCTATCTATCTATCTATCTATCCATCTATCTATCTAATTCCGTCTGTTCATATCTAAGCCTGTTCATATCTATCTATCTATCTATCTATTCATCTATCTATCTATCTATCTATCTATCTATCTTAGTTTGTTCATATCTATATATCTATGCAAATTTATTCGCATGTCTAAATCTCACGTCAACTGAATTTGTCTTGAGATGATCAATCTTTATTCTTAGTAAATGACTAGATACTTCATTTCGCCCTGATTCCGATCAGAATAAACGACGAAGTAAACGATACAACGTGTCAATCAGCTGTGGATTATTTAATAAAACTGAAAATCTCATATGGCAGATAAATTATCTTAATGACTAATGCAGTCGATACTGAATCAGACACGCCGAAGTATTAATACTATATGATTAGAGTTTAGTTTATTTCCTTTACCTTATCCATCTTTCTTTTATACAATTATAGTTATCACACATGACACTAAACTGTCTCTGATATGATTGAGTCTCTTGCCGGAAAAAGATGCAATTCCACATTATGAAGTACAATTGTCTACCCAGTTTAGCTCTAGAAATTCGCTTTGGTACTTGCAGAAATTATTCTGGTGTAAATGAATGCTGTATTTTTGAAACCTTGAATTTAGAATGAAAAGTTAAATACTAACATAAATAAAGTTATTCTCACGATTTACATTGTTCGGACTATCATCCTCATCTTTGATGCCGTATTTATCTCAAAGTTTCGGCTGTTGCACGTTCCGGCCTTCTTCAGGTGGTTGAAATGTCGAACTGAAGAAGGCAGGAGCGTACAACGGCCGAAACGTTGTACTAAATATGGCAACAAAGATGAGGATGATAGGCCGAACAATGTAAATAGTGTACATAATACCACATCTCAGAAATATAGACAACCTTTTTCTCTTTCGAAATTAACGACCTATCTTATAACCTTCTCTGTACAAGAGTGAACCAGACTCAAGACTGAGAAACATGTGGATTTTTATCTGAAAGCATTACTATATAATATTCGATATGATGGAATCTATGGGGATGAATTAAGTGCATTGACATGAACAGATACTATGTTTTAGTTATGTTTAAAATAGTTATACTGTATTTTTGTATGTAATTAACTTTTTTAACGTATGTTTTTTCGAGTGACAGAAGTAATTTCAACTCGAAACTAATTTCAACACGATTTAAAATGAAAGTTATCAATTTCCGTGAATTCCTAAACAAAATGCTATAAGTTGGTGTTCATTTTTTAATTTAGTATTAAAATTCCTTCGGAGATAAGATAATTCAGAATTCATCTTTTCTGTAACTTCCATTCTTTTTTGTTGCAAATGAATAAAGTGGTACTTTTTTTATTTACTTTTATTCATTTAAATCTGATTTAATAAAAAAATGCAATGTTCTTTGTAACAAGAACAGTAAATTGTTTTGCTGTGTTTTGGGTAAAAAAAAAGTCTTGTTCAAAAGAAACCGTTATTAATCAAAATTTAAGAAAATCAATTAATTAAATTTTAATTTCGTTTGAATAGTTCCGAGTTGAAAGTAATTTCGAGTTGAAACTAATTCTGCCCCCCCCATTTTTCCTACTTCAATATAAATTGCTATAGCCAACTACAAAATGAGAACATGATAATTAGAATTAAATATTCAACATGAGAGTCATGAAGACAGTGGATGTTACTTGCAAATGCATTTCATGGAATTACAATAAAAGAAAAAGCGGGGAAAAATGAAAATTAATTCTAAGGCCCTCTAAATAGCCGTAATCATCTTAATACTATGAAAATACAATCAGATATGGTGTCTTTTAAATCCAATATCTTTATATTCAGAAAAGGGGAAACTTCGCTATTCTATGCGCTTGATGAAAGTGATAGAAGCTAATGAAAATTGTCTGTCATGAATATCACGATTTTAAACCAGCATATTTTCAGAAAGCCTTCAGATCAGTGATTACGACAAACGTCAAATGTCTTCGAGTTGCATAACTCTTTTCTCTTACACACGAAATAATTTTTTAACATACAACGTGTGTTAGCATTTGCGATACCCTGTCTTCATCAGCCGCCGACTAGGGGTGATATGGTTTCGGTGGCTATGGCGGAACCGCCACCCCTGGCGCCACCAGCAGCATTTTCCACCAGACAGGGTATTAAACGTCAGCTGCCTTCGAATTGTATAACTCTCTTCTCATACACACGAAATAAATATATCTTGAGAAATTATCGTTAACATGAGGCTTTTATTTTCTCTTTAATCAAATGCTCACAAAACCAAGTGTTTTGTTTCCCGGGCAACGCTGAGTATCCTTCTCACACACACACACGTATATATATATATATATATATATATATATATATATATATATATATATGATAGAAGGAGGTGATAGTATGATAAAAAACTGCGTCTGTTGCTATTACATTGTGAGAATCGCTGATTTGCTTTTACGCTTTTTCAAATCAAACGGACTCTGTGATGTCTTTCGGATAGACATCTACTCCAGAAGATTATTTAATAGAAAAAAGAAGTAAAAACAAAGCAAAGCAAAGCAAATAAAACCCTATCTACTCAAGCTACATTCTCTGTTGGCTTGATGCCATTGTCGTACATTACAATCTCGCTTAAAATGAACCTTATACTTTAATATACTTCATTGTGTCGCAAGATTTCCTTCCTACCATAACGGCTCCTTCACCTTAGCAGTGTGAGAAAAAAAAACAAAAAACAAAAAAAAAAACAAAGCAGCAAAAACAAAAAAATATACAACAAACAGAAACAAGAAGAGAAAAACGTGGAAAATGTAAGCGGTCCAAATGTAACAGTTTAAATGCTAGTGGCCAAACATGTCTTTCTAAACAACTTAGGGACGGGTTTTACTCTCGCTCGCCCTCTCTCTCGCTCGCTCGCTGCATGCGCATGCGTATGTGTATCTGTATGTTAGTGCGCGTGCGCAGACCACAGGAAGTTTTTCTGCGAGTTTTCTTTATTCAGAACTGAGTCGAGTTTAGTGCGTCCGCTGCCAGGCTTTTAAGGGTGGGGATAAAAAGGCCGACATTTTCAGAAATAGAAAGAAAAGAATAAAAACTGAATATGCAGAGAAAAAAAAAGTAACACAAACACATTTGCGTTAAAAGCCAGGTGAAAATCAAGTGTATTGCAGTGACCGAAGTACTCTTGGTTGCAATGTGCCGCTGCAAAAACATTTGTAGTGAGATTGTATTTTCAACCAGTACCAAACGTTTGATGGTGGCTAAGGTCAATTTTAGTAGGGCAACGCAATCGTCTAGACACGATTGACTCTACACAATATTATTACCATTTTATAAAATTTCTTGTATTTACCTAACTGCATGTTTATTTTAGATGGAATTTTTAATTTGTTCGGCCTTGAAAAGTATTGCACATTTCTGATTGCATCAGATTTTATCACGCTCAGACACTATTGTCTTGACTGTCGATTAGTTGTCCTCCAGCCATTTTCTGCAATGGACGTTACTCCAAAGAAGCGTACGAAAATTGCAACGCCGCAAGAACACAAGCCTTACCAATGAGCAAATCAAAGTACTATCGACTGGCCCAGAAACTGTCCTGATTTAAATCCAACCGAGAATCTGTGGTCAATCTGCAAAGATCGACTTCGTGCAATGGGCATACGAAGTACTAACAGGTGCACTGGGTCATTTTTCACTGGAAAAAATACAAAAAAAAGTAAATAATAACCGAATTATTCGTTTTGTTTCAATTAATTTGCACAAACTGTGTAGGTAATCATGGCCCTCCACATTTTCCTATATAATTTGCACAAAGGGGATATATTTTAGATGGAGCTTTTAATCCGATATTATTTCTTATTAATAAAATCGACAGTTTAATGGGTAGACGTGTCTAAGTTAATGTTGCTGTTTATTTTCTTCAGGTGCTAAAAGTAATATCAACCAGCCTAGATGGAAAAGTCTCACGAAAGAAGAATTTTCCTCCCGACAAGAATCGAACCTTTATTCCTTTTTTTCTATCAGAGTGAGTTCTCTGATCGAAAATATACGTTCTATTCCAGTCAGGGGACATATTTTTCTATAATAAGATTGTTCGATTTAGGCCGGTTGATATCAATTTTTTATGGCATTAAAAAATAGGGATACCAACACAAACACGTGTATGACATTTAAAGCAATAAGAAACATATCCATTTATTTTAAGACATTTTTTATGTTTATACGTTCTTTTTATAGATGCACATATTTAAGGAAATGCTCTGTTTATAATATACGGTATTCATGACATTTACTGGCTCGAATGTCCGAGAAATTTTCATAGAAAATATGCGTCCACCGACAGTAATCGAACCTGTATCCTTAAAGAACAGTCATATAGCCTGACGTGCTTTACCGATTTAGTCACAGAGGAGCGTTTCAGTTAGCAAGTTCGATTTTACTGTTTTCAAACTACAATTCTTCATGATTTTCTCACGTACATTGATATCTGATCGATGCGATTCCAAATGTAAACAAATGACGTCACACATTATGAAATGGACAAAGTCCGACAATTATTTTAAGACATTTTTTTATGTTTATACGTTATTTTTATAGATAAAAATATTTAATTAAATGCTCTGTTTATGATAAACAGTATTAATGATATTTACCGGCCTGAATGTTCGAGAAATTTTCATAGAAAATATGCGTTCTCCAGCAGGAATCGTTTAAAAACAGTAAAATCGACCTTGCTAACCGAAACGCTCCTCTGTGGCTAAATCGGTAAAGCACGCCAGGATATATGACAGTTCCTTATAGGATACAGGTTCGATTCCTGTTGAGGATGCATATTTTCCTATGAAAATATCGGACATTCATATATAAATATTTGATACTTTTTATTATAAACAGAGCATTTCTAATAAAGTATCTATAAAAAGAACGTATAAACATAAAAAATATCTTAAAATAATTGTCGGACTTTGTCTATTTCATAATATATTCATTTATGTATGGAGTTTCATATTGTTAGTTACTTCTATTATTTTCCTAATCTTTATCAAATTAACATAAATCTTTAGCCGTCGATAAATGAGTAGATCTGTACAATAAGGTTTTATTTTATACATCATAGTAAGTATGTTTCTACTATCCTTCCTTATTTGTTTTACAACAGCGGATTCAAATAGA